GAAGTGACCTGGATCTGATATGTTCACACATGTGGACAAATCAAATTGCATGTTTTTTTTGTTTTTTTTTTCTTTTCCTCATATCGAAATCTGGGCCAATTCCATATGTGGTCCTAGATCCGATACATATCTGATCTCTGACCACGCGATTGCTGTCGGAACAAACAATCGGATCAGAATTTGCGTTGTTTGTTTTTTTTAATCCCTTACTCCCATACGTGTGTGGTGTCTGTCATCATTCAGTGTCAGACCTTCACAGACCAGTTATAAATAAAACTAGAGGAGAGCAATGACATGTACTGCATGGGGGTCAGTGGAGAGATGAGGCTGCTTTACTTTTGTTTAACATTTATGCAGAAGCTTCTCATCATGCAAAACTAGACTGCAGTTTGACAGTTGATGTGATTGTTTTTGTTGTACACGACTCAGTTTGTTAAATTTGCGGATGTATGTCAACCATCAACACAAAAAGATGAGAATTGAGCACTAAAAGCCTATAATGTCAACATAGTGTCAGTTGCACTGATGATCCAGGATTATATCATCAAAAGTGTCCAATGAATGTGTTACCTGTGAGTTCAGAGTAGTTCATGTTTACCGTTCTTGATTGATTTATAAATAGAGCTAAAACATAGCCATGTATCCATTTTCTTTTCCTGGTTCATTGAATCATTGCATTTAGGTCTGCATAGCAAGAATCTTTTGAACCTTTGTTGTGTAGAGGGAAATGAAAAAAGTAAAGAATCCCAAACAAAGCCTGGATTAATAACACTGAACCCTTCTTTACCTGCTTTGTATTTTAATTGCAGCAGCAGTAAAACACTGGAGCTTTTGCCAAGTGGGTTTTGTGTGGTTTGCTAATCCATTCATCCTTCCACATCAGGTGGAATAAAAAAAATAAAAAAAATAAAAAAGCAAAAGGAAAAAGTAGTAGTTGCTCCACAGCTGCGGATAGAGGCCACAGCACACTTACGTACCTCCTATCTCCAAGAAAAGTTGTCATCATCCCTCATGTAGTCATAAATCTGCACTTCCACTTCTGTTTTCTGTGCCTTCTGAAGAATTACAGCTACCGTGTTATTGCCTCTTCCTGAATGTCAAACTGACCCCTTCAGTTTCCCCCCTCCTGCCATTGTTGCTGAAATAATAGTTGTCGCATCTTGGAAAGTTGCGTAACATATGGTGAATTTGACGTGAAATCTGTCAGTAAAGAGTCGCCCAACTTCCCGCCCCTCCTCTTCCCCTCTCCTCCTGTGCTGTCCTGGCCTGTGAAGAAATCCAGTCTGACAGCTTAAGTGACGGCAAGCAGAGGCACATTCACAAGTGGCTTGCTTTACTGTACAAACTGTTGCACTTTATTTTTTTTTTCCTGCTTGTTGTAGAGCTAGAAAGCAGCTATTAGAGACTTTGATGCAGTGGCACACCACCCTGCTTGAATTTGTGACTGTAACTATACAAATTTATTCAGTAATGGCTGCACTATCTCTGTGGTTGTGGCCTGATTGAAGTGGAATTAATTATCTCTGGTTGAAAAAACAGCTAGTGCTTTAGATTGCTTCCATTTGCATTTCATAAAATGGAGCCTGCACAGAAGAAATCAATCTTTCCAATGGTAATAGAATCTTTTTGTATAGTCTAATTTGTGCAGCTGCACTTCTCATGAGTCCTAATTCTTCTGTGAGACTATGCTTTATCTTCTTGGCCCTCTCATTAAAGAGTAAAATGTAAATGATAAAAGTAAGAGAATGGTTTTTTTCCTAAATAATTGGATTTACAGTATAATTTTTAGACAATTTAATTATTTAATTTAGCAGGAGATTTTAATCCAAACTATAGTAGTTGTTATTTATAAATTACTTAACCTGTCGCCGTAGCCAGCTCCATAGAAAGGATCTGTTATATGTAATTGTGTTGTAGAGGATGTTTAAGTTTCAGTTCTGGTGTTGCTGCAATAAATCATAGTGTCCCACAATAGCTACTGATATGATTACACAATTTTATTTCATCATTTAGGCTGAGCAATTTCTGACACAAAAGCATTAACATGACTGTTTTATATCTTTGAGTTCAGCCTTATCATCAAAGAGCCTTTCTCCTCTGCACCATTTTTGCTTCCTTTATTTATTCCACTGATCGTGTTTCCAGCTGTAGACTCTCAACATGGCGATGAGCTAAATATAAACTGGATTGCTCGGATGGTTCTCATTCCAAGATACGCCTTTTATCACTAACAAGGTTTTCACGGAAAAGGAATAGGCTAAATTGCGCCAAATTTTCCTGATCCCTTCATACATATTTCTGAATAGATGGTCTGTTTTCCCTTTGAACTGACGTGTGTGTTCCTGAGGAGTTGAGGTGGTCACATCACCTCACCTAAGGCTGGTGAAATAGAGCATGTAATGTTTGCTGTCTGTCTCAGAGACTAATAAGTAAGGTTTTGTATGTGTGTGAGAGAGAGCATGCAGACCGAGCACATAAATTGATTTTGTGTGTTTGTGCTGCACTCTACCAAACAAGCCTTTACACGGGTGCTTGCTGGGGTTGAATGCTGTTGGAGTTAGAGTTACAGTATTGTTACTGTCCTCACACCTGCGTGGCTCTCCTATTGTCAATTGATGGCATAATGTGACTCTTCTCTTTTGTAACTGTGGCACAGTGAATATTATCATGTGATCTGCAATTTAATATTTTGCCATAATCTTCATACAATGAGTTGTCAGTTTATGCGCAGATCTTTAAACTCCTATTTGTCCTGGTTATGTAATTTACCCTTTAACCTGTCCTGGATGTATCCTGTCTGATGTGATCTAGGATTAGTGGTGTAGAAATTGTGTATGAATGGTTATAGATTATCTTGTAATGAGTTGTCACAACAGTACTAAGCCTTACACACACCTCAGAAATACCATTTACATTAGAAATAATTGGGAATGGGATGACATGATTATTTTTTGTTTCTCTATACGATTCGATGCATGACATATGGTGTGTACGATTCAATTCAATCACGATAACTAGGGGTGTAAAAATAAACCGATACAAATTGGAAAAGAGTCAGCTTTTACAGCTGCATTTGATGAAAACCACACATTTGAACCTATTGAGTTTAAAAAAATGGCCTAAAATCAATATGAACCTCATAAACCAATCTCTGGCAAGTTTTTTTGTTACTTCTCGTTGTGCTCTGTCCTAGTGTGTGTGCGCGTGCACCATCTCCTGCCGGCATTCAAACGTACCTCCTCCTTAATGACGGAGGTCCAGGAAAAACGCTGCACACAGTACAGATAGCAGCAGGAGCAAACAGTGCTAGCTTTCATAGCTACCTCAGAGTGCAGAACATGCAGCGCTTGTGTCAAGTAACCTGCCTTTACAGAGTGCCACCGACCGCGCAAGTAGAAATGTTATAAAGGTGACACACTGATGGAAAGAGTACAGTTCACTGCGAGAGCGGAGTGGGGGAATCTTTGAGTAATTGTTCCTGGCAAATATTGAATAGCATTTTAGCTTGAAATGCCTGTCCCTACTAAACAGATACTTTAATGTATGTGTAGTCTTTCAAATAAAATCTAAATAAAATTTGAATATCTGCTGAATCAAATCAATCATTCTGAATTATACTGTATCTTATCGCTACAAATTTTGCAGTATCGTTTTTGTATCTAATCATGGACAGTGCATTGAGAGGGAGAGATGCACAGTTAAAAATTCAATGACGATGTATGACTAGCTGTGGAATACTTGTACTTTATTCCTCCACATGATGCATATTGCTAGACAGAGATACATTTGTGCTGTGATATATCGACTTTTGATTTATTGTCCCATCCCTAGAAATAATACGCATACTGGCATGCATTAATGTCTTGTAATGAGTGTATTTTGATGTCTTGTACCCATCACCGTTAATTATTTGGCACAAGAGATCCTCACTCAATAAGTAAACAAAGAACAACTTTGTGGCAGTAGTTTGAATCCTTTTAAAATGTGAATCACAAAATGGACAGTTTCTTAATTCATTTGTGTCTGTGATCAAGCAGTGTGCCCCCTAGTGGCTGTTTGAATGTGTGGTAATGTCTACATGAATCTTGAAGGGTCATTTTGCCTTTTTTTTTGTTTTGTTTTGGCTTTTTCATTATGACAAATCGCTTTTGCCCTAATAACATCCTAAAACAGCTGTACATTTATACCACTGTGTGCCAGTTTGTGAGGTCTTTATTTAACTTATCCCCATCTCCTCCTCCTCCTCCCTCCTCCACAGGGAGACTCCATGAAAGATGACAGAGGAGGTGATTGTTGTAGCCAAGTGGGACTACACGGCCCAGCAGGATCAGGAACTTGACATCCGTAAAAATGAGCGTCTTTACCTCCTGGACGACTCCAAGACGTGGTGGCGTGTCCGCAATGCCGCCAACCAAACGGGGTATGTGCCGTCAAACTACGTCGAGCGCAAGAACAGCCTGAAGAAAGGCTCGCTGGTGAAGAACATCAAAGACACACTGGGTAAGAAGAATTTAGTGTCACTCTGCTTCAATGTCAAAGGTCACCCGTGTGTACAAATTCTCACAGTCGGCTTATTTTCAGTAGAAGTGGAAAATCTCTGTGCTTCCTTTTCAGTACTTTTTCCTCCCTAGTGGAGGATAGGATGTGGTCATAAACAGTGGTCAGTTTGTGTGCATGCACGTGTGTTAGCCTAACTCTTCTCAGAAGTAAAACGATACTCTCGCTGTGTCTCAGTCCCCGCCGGGAGCTGTCACTGTGCTCTCCAGGGATCCTGTTGAGTTAAGAGTTGCTTTTAGCTGTCAGCAGCTGTCCCAGCCCCCAGTCAGGACTCGAATACATTAGACTGTGTATGCACTGTAGCCATAGCTGCCAGCTTATAGAGGGACTGTTGGTGCATATAGTATGAGGATACAACTTGTGATATTCAGGAAGAGTATAAATAACTCAAGACAGGTTTCTAATAAGCTACTCATTATTAGTAGTTTTTTGTAGCCAGTTATAAGAATTAGGAAAATTTAAATTCCATTAAAGAGATTGCTTTCATATGCACCTAGTGTCATTTATAGTCTAACTTGCCATTTAAGTATACAAAAGACAAACCTGTCTGTCAAAACCGTTTTTCACCGTTTCCATTAGTCAACCATGACAAGTTAAACAGAATCAGCATGTACTTTCAGAGGAAAACATAATGCACATTTGATGCACAGTTTAAAAATACTCATTGCTTTGCTTAAAAGTACATTATTTTTTTAAAAAGTAATAATTACAATGTTACATCTCAATACTTTTGAGTATCAACCTGACTGCAATAGCTGCAGTTACACAGACAGTATTTTTAATCAGATTGAAATCATTCTGATTAGAGATTTCTGATGTAGCTGTTTACATGGATGTTGATTTGATAAAATGTGTGTTTACATGTTCAGTGCATTTAATCACATATCTTTTTTGACATGCAGACAGTGGTTCCACTCACATGATGCTGTCATCAGTGTTGGTTAGTTAGCTAGCATCATTGGTAGAAGCCAACCCATCTGCTAGCCTGATGTGGCCATGGGCCTGGCTTTATTACCGTTATTTAACTAACATTACTTCATCAGAAATTTCTACCCTCTTAGTTACTTCCAAAAATGACAGGGTGGTTTGCTGCCACATGGCAGTGAGCAGTGACTTTCACCTTTCAGGACATGTACCTTATGTATTTGTTTTTTTTATTTCTTATATTTAGCTGTAACAAATCCTGTCATGTCACTCAGGCATCATGGGACAGGGTTAATGTATAATAACTCAGAGTAAGACAGTTGCTTTCATAGCCAGTTCCTAATAGATATTAGGCTTTTGAATTTTAAGTGTTCCATTTTATTTGTCTCACTTTTGGAATTTGGACATGGAGGCAGAAAATTATTGGACTCAATGTGGCGCCTAATCCCCCACAGAGCTGGTTCCTTACTGCAGTCATAGAATACAGATGCGACAGCCAGAAAGGAGCAGCAACAAAATGAGATGGCATCAGTTATAGATCTGTGCTAAAATAGGATGTGTTGGTATAGAGCCCAATTCAGAAATGTAGGAATTCATTCAAGTGATCAGCTTGCTCGGTTTCCTTACTGCAGGAAAAGAGCAGGAGGTGGACGGCCACAGAAATGTATTAAAATTTGTTTTGACAGTTTTAGTTCGAGTTACAACTTTTTGTCAGGTTGATAGAGGGAGGTGGATATGGGGAGAAAATAGAAACACTTGGTTGAAATTCTAACAAGACAGACCGATCAGGAAGAGCAACTGTAGCAAAAATAGTAACAGTGTGGCCCTGAAAGGCAGCCATATTTAGAGTTACAGGGAGGAGAGGATAGAAAGAGACGAGGGGTGTCTGGTCTGATACGCTGCTTCCTCACGGCTCTGTGGATAGCACCCTAGGGAAAACGGCAGCTTTTCACCAGGGTTCATTGTGTGTAGAGACAACACTCCCCCGCTTCAGTACTGTTCCTGTAGGTCTGTGCTTTTCTATGATCAGTAGATTGATTTAGTGGGGAAATCAGTAGCTTAATGGTTGTGGTAGAATGATACATTACCTCTCTGCCCTCTACTGTGTTATCTACTGCAACATTATGGCCTGCTTCCATTTCAGTCTAAGTAGTGTGCTTCTAGCTGGTAGCTCTTTAGTGTTAAAAGCCTGAGCTAATCCAATAGGCACAAACTTTTTCCTGGTGAGGTGATGAGCAGTAGGTGAGGTCGGCGGCTAATGGAACTTGCTTGCAGATTTCAATGGAGAATTTCATTGGCTAAGAGCGTGATTATGCCGTCCCAGCTATAGTTTATGGGCTCTTTTTCTCTCTTTTCCAGCTCTTTACTAAGCATTGTGATTATGGACCTTGCAGATAGTGTGTGATTAGTTTTTGCTCCAGCTTTTCCTCCTCCTGTATTGTGCTTTAATGTGGTTTTGTCAACGACATCCGTGCAGGCAGAATTGAATTGAAAATGGCTGCATGCTGCTTTGTGCTCCAGTTCCCTCTCACAGGAAATAAAAACAGTAATGAGCAAAAGAACTCACTAAATGTCTTACTCATTATGAGAATTTGGTCCAGTACACACTGGTGCAACACACTAGCAGTGTATTTTCTCCTCTTGTATTGAACTGCTGGTGGAATTTTGGTAAAAGGAAGAAAAAAAAAAGCTTTTAAATTTGCATGATTGAAGTCGCCAGCAGTGATGAGAAATGTCGCTGGTGCCAACACTGCTAGGGTTTTTCAAAGGGTCACAAAGCTCGTCCGAGATTCACTCGAGTACTCTCTTAGAGCACAGCACTTGCTGACACAGTTAATGCTTCATTAGAGGGCCACGTTGTGCTTTTTCATTATTGCAAGATCTATGCATCTGGTGGCTTGTGTGCTATTGTGCAGACTCATTTATTGCAATTATTTCCACACTGGCCTCTACTGTAAGCTACAGAGTGAAGAAATATGCAGCAACATGCAGTTGTCAAGGCTTTCATCAGCTTACTTCCTTACTAAGTTGAAGTCCTCTGGGCTTGAAAATTTAGTCTCCCGCTACAAGATGAAGCAGTAGGTGAAGGTTGGGAGTGAATGTGTGGGAGGAGAGAGTATAGCCCACTGCTGCTGTAGCCAGCAGGCCGGTGCCTTGAAGTGGAAATGAGTGAAGAAGAAAGAGGTGTGTGTGTGTTAGTGTTTCTGCTAAGCTCAAGGGAGTGCATGTTGCCTTCTTGTGTGCAACCCCTCTCTACCTCACGGCAGTGACACTATTTTATTTTGCCTAAGGGACCTGAAGTAGGCCCAAGAGTCGGCCTTTTTCTTTGACTTGGAGCCAGGAGATACAGAATCATCTCACTCATAAACACAGTGATCAGATATGTAGGATATAAACCACTTTCCATCAACATCTGCTTGTTATTCCTGTCCTGTTTTTGTCAGCTGTGGCCTCTGATGTGCTTGGTCTACTGTGGTTGTGAGAACCAGCTGCCAAGGGACCCCTCGTCTTTCTTCACCGCTCTCCCATCTCCTCCTCTTTCTTCTGCCAACAAGTTTCATGCTACTCTGTGTGAACCCAGCAATTTTCCAAACATTGTGAATGTACTATTCAGCAGTGACATTTCTGTGGCATTTCAGTAGGCTCTGTGGCACAACTGGGTGATTAGCTGTCAGGAAACTCACTTCACTCATTAGTAACACACATGAGCATATGCTGACACAAGCCTCAACTGTCAAGTAAATGGTTTAAATGTTGTCAGCTGCACAGTGTATCATTATTTTAACATGGATTTGAAGAGGAGACCTCCTTGGTTATGTTCAGCAGAGAGACTTTAGAAACTTAAGGCCCTATTGAAGTGTGCAAACACGTTTAGAGACGTGACTTTGAAAGTACATGAATGGAGGAGTCAGACAGGTAAGACAGGGAGCTGACTTTGATCCCAGATATGCCTGTCATTATCAAGCCCATGGTGCCTGCTCCGCTTTTCATTCCCCGTCTACACAACCTACTTTCAGTTTTTGATTGGTATAGATGTGTATACGGTGTGTAGATAGTGTTGACGGAATACCAAGCAGATAATCAGCTTTCATTTATTGGGCTTGAGTAACAGGGGTGCTCAGTGTGAGTGGATGTGTGCAGCTTTATGCTAATTCTATTATCAGGAGCATCGATCGATCTGTTTTTCAGCGCTGAGGGTTCTCAAAGAATACTCTGTATCCTTCACTTCTAAAGTTTTTGTTTTGCTTTCAGTGACTGAGAGTGCAGCCTGAATTAGTTTCCATCTGACCTAAACTGCTTCTTTCCCTGCTTTCTAGAACCCGCTCTGTCATCACAGCCCGTCACTAGTGCTCAAATGCCAGTGTTCAGCAGTGTGTGGATTAAATATTTAAAGCTGCTATAATCAATATTTTTATATTAACACTGGATGGCTGTAGAAATCCAGATTTTGGTGATATTAGTTGGCAGCTGGGCTTGTTTGAGGTTCTTGAACCACAGCTGGCCACAGGAATGACCTGTCAATCAACAATCAGTGTTTAGACTAACGTTTGTGTGATTGACAGCATTGGTAAGCTAATCAAACAGCTGACTGGATATTTCTCTGTACCACCAACTAAGGGTGGGTAGTGTAATTTGCCTTGCCTGCCTACATGTATGCATTAGTTAATCCAAATATATTTTAATTAAGTCTCAAGCATGTTATTTGGTGAAACGAATAGACTCAACTGTGAGTACAATAAACAAACATTAAGAATTAATACATGCACCTAAGTTGTCTGAAAACCCTGGGTAAAAGTGTTGCTTGTGGTGATAAAGCTGCAGATTGATCACCTGGCTCTGCAGTTGCCCCTAGTTCTGTAGAATAGTTTAGCATCTTTCAGCTCATTGTTTGAATTTTTTTTGTTTGCAGCTTTACTGTTTTGGTTCACTATCACATTAGTGTTGTTTACAGATGCTGCAGGCAGCTGTTTTCAGCCAAAAAGCTTTGATAAACTTACTGTGTGCTATGTAAGTAGCACACAAAGTTGATGAACACAGTGGAACATTGAGCAGCTGGAAGCCCAGATAGTTCCCTCAGGAATTGGGGGAGAAAAAACAGACTCAAAAGCGAGTGAATATTGGACACAAACAAAGCTCCAAATGAGTGCTAATTTACTCTGTATGTGCTAGAAGTGTCAATAGTTTGGTAAGAGATTAGCCACAACAACTGGTGATTAAACTGGAGTGTGATTAAAACTCGTTGCGCTGCCCCAGAGGTGTCAAAAGTGGCAAATAATGAAGTGTTAGTTCAAAGAAAGTAGTCCAACTCAAACGCAGGCAGCCTTTACTGATCTGTGTCTGTCTGCCACCATTCTCTTCTCTTCATGGTACAGGTTTAGGAAAAACGAAGAGGAAGACGAGTGCCCGAGATGCTTCCCCAACGCCAAGCTCAGACACAGAGTATCCCTCCAATGGCAGCGGGGGTGGAGGGATGGGAGGAGGAGCTGCTGAGAGAATCTACGACCTCAACATCCCAGCTGTGGTCAAGTTTGCCTACACAGCAGAGAGGGATGACGAGCTGACCCTGGTCAAAGGCTCCAAGGTTATCGTGATGGAGAAGTGTAGCGACGGCTGGTGGCGGGGCAGTCAGGCTGGCCGCATGGGCTGGTTTCCCTCCAATTACGTCCAGGAGGAACTCGGAGGAGCTGATGACAGAGAGGGAGATTCCTCACGGAGTTACCAGGGAGGGACTTTGTTGGCCAACGGGCGTGCAGGGGGGCGTGGGGGAGCGCTCCACCTGGTTCAGACGCTCTACCCCTTCAGCTCTGTAACAGAGGAGGAGCTAAACTTTGAGAAGGGAGAGGTCATGGAGGTCATGGAGAAGCCTGAGAATGACCCAGAGTGGTGGAGGTGTAAGAACTCACGTGGCATGGTAGGTCTGGTACCTAAAAACTATGTGATGGTGCTGGACGAGCGGCTGGGCCTGCCCTCCTCTATGTCAAGTTCCCCGCAGAACCGCGTCTTGGCACCGGCACGTTCAGGGAAGTTTGCAGGGAGGGACTGGTACTACGGCAACATCACCAGACACCAGGCTGAGTGTATACTGAATAAGAGAGGAGAGGAGGGCGACTTCCTCATACGTGACAGTGAGTCATCGGTGAGTCTGTGGAGTGGAGTCATGACAGCTGCACTGGGGGGAAAAAAAGAATAGATTAAATCCATTTTAGCAGAAAGAACAGAATTCAAAAATATATTTGTGAAGGTAGAAGTATAAATTGGTTTCTGCAGGTTATTGCCCTGTATTTATGAATTTTATAAGAAGCAGAGGTTTGAGAAATAGCCAAGAATGTTACACATTTATCAGCTGACTCATTCACCTTTAAGTGATCACATGATTATCCCATGTGCAGTCAGAGCCTTAGAGAGAATGTAATGTACATGTGCCCCATTGATTGCAGATGATTTATCATTATCGGTTAATTTACCAATGTTTTCAGTCTGTTAGTAGCTTCACCTGGACTGCACAGGGACATCTTCATATGTGTCCTACTGTCTAAAACCCAAAAGGTAGTCAGACTGTAGTTTCATTAAACAGAAAAGCAGCAAATCCTCACATTGGAAATGCTTCATTTTTCAAGAGCAGAGTAATTGATTATCAAAATAGTAGCTGATTGACTTATAATTTCAACTCAGTTTAATATTTGTATGAAATCTAGTATCTCTAATAGCAGTTCACAGTAGAACAAATCACCAATCAATCCATAAACTGTGATGAAACCTTACCTGGAGCTGCTTAAACAGGGTACATCAGAGAAAACCTTTTAAATGAGAGCTCATACACACTGACAAGTGCAAACAGCGATGTTGCAAAGTGACAAGAGAAATCCAAAATTAACCCCCCCCCAAAAAAGCATAGCATTAGATCAAATATGAATTTAGAGCTAACAACTTAACATAGCATTTGTTACAAGTTATTTACATTGTTAAGTCCTTCAGAAACATGATAGAACAGGCTCACCTGGTCACTGTGCTGCACCTTAAGATATCTGAATGTTGCATTTCGTTCATGCCCTAGATTTCCCATGCAGCAGTTGGATCAGTGGGCCCAGATGTTTAAATGTCAGAATATACTACCACCTGCTGGCTGTTTTTTTCTGTCCCTCTCTCTTTTCTAAACAACTTTCTTTTTATTTTGCAGCCCAGTGATTTCTCCGTCTCTCTGAAGGCAGTGGGTAAGAATAAACACTTTAAAGTGCAGCTGTCAGATGGAGTGTACTGTATCGGCCAGCGCAGGTTCAACTCCATGGACGAACTAGTGGAGCACTACAAGAAAGCCCCCATCTTCACCAGCGAACATGGAGAGAAGCTGTACCTGGTCAAAGCGCTGCTGTGATTCACACATCTTCACCCCTACACTGGGTGTCACACACACTCACACACACACAGTACTAATGCCACTCCCTGACTGTCTTAACTCAAGCCTTAGCTCTGGACCCTCCTGCTGTGGCATCTGTGCTACATCCAGATCCTCAGTCGCTCCAGTTTCATCTGTCGCCTTCCAGTGGCGACCAGGTGAAATTCTCTCTAGCTCTACATCGAGCAGTTTACTGCAAGACAGTGCACTATGTCACCCAGCATCCTTCACGTGCAGCACAGTGCATAATAAGCCTCTCCATTTTGGATGCACTAACATGCAGTGACCACACCTGCTGCTAATAGAATGCCTGGGGCCTTGTGGGGGTTGAGCTTTCCTTCTGATGTCATATATAATGTCTGTTTATTACCATGCATATTGTAGGTTGCACCATTGCTCTTAATCCACACAGAAGGACAGACACTGTACAGGTCAGAGGACTGACCTCTGAAGGACCTTACTCTGCGGTGTCAGATTGTTAGCCATTGTTTTGTCAATTTTTTTTCCCTCCCTGAATTAACTTTTGCTTTTCAAAAGGTTATTTAAAATCCTCTCTAGAGGGTTGTTGCTCTTTCAGTGACTTCACAAAGTGACCAGAGTGACTCGTTTTTCTAATTTTCACAATTACTTGCCCCATTTGAAATTATGTTTTCAAATTCCTCTTTGTTTGTACCTCTGCAGATCCAGTCATTATTAGTGACGTTACTGAACATCTGGATACAAAACTTCCTATAATATTCCTAAAAGGCGGTAGGAGAAGCATTAATGCAATATGGGCGATTTTTGAATTCCAGTAGAGTTTGAATGTTTGTCACTATAACCAAATGTGCCACCATGTACCCGTACTACTGGCCCCAGATCTGCTCTGCACTCACCGTACCTGGCAAGCATCATGTCACATTGAACTTGTTCCTGTTCTCCAGTATGTGTCTGTAGTTACATGAGGATACTGACTGAATAAGAAGATAATAATAATAATAATAAAACTTTCATCACACTTTTGAATAAAACAGCTTAATCTGCTCCTGGGAATGAATGCTGGTAGAAAAAGTAACTCTTCTAATGATAGATAATTATCTCTTTGTGACTCTTGTGATTACAGAGAATTTTTCAGAAAGTGTCATTATATACAAAAACTGTACAATGTAGTGTTTGACTGACTGAAACCTCAACAGCAAATTAAGGTGCGGCTGTGATGAATCACAGATGATCATCCTTAAGTTAATAAGAATTCTGAAATACTACAAATCCATGGAACTAAACCCCCTCCCCCGAACAGCAAATCAGTACTTTTAAAACTACAGAATCCGAGGGAGTGCATCTTTATTCAAATTACTTCCAAACAAAAAACCTGAACTATAGAGTCGGCCTTGGTCTGAAATTGAGTACCAGCTGTTTCGAGTGCTAAATCTACCCAAATTAACATTTCTGCTGAGGGTGGGGCTTAACGACTGGCCACTGTCAAGAAACTGTTCGGTTCGTAATGAAAAAGTCTGGTTCTACCAAACGGTTTCCTTGTCCATTTTCGTTTGCTATGTGCATCTGTTTACCAGTGGAAGTGTTGTTGATCATGGGGTTCTCAGCTTTTATCTGATATATCTGAATGTTATTGAACATTATTTAATTCTTGTCTCCACTGTATGTATATAGTCAAAATAAGATGAGGTGCATATACGAATTGTTAAAATCCAACTATGGTACTGTATCACCGACAACATGATGAGAATTGAAATACTTTTGTTCAATAAAAATTTTGGAAGAATACTAAAATTATGGCTGGGATCGTCTTTTGTTTTCTGCTGATTAATAATTAGAGCTTGAGCACCACAATGCTCAACTCCCAAAGGGAGATGCCATCAGTATATCTACTATAGCTGGTAAATGTTAAATTTGGTTTGAAAGTAGATTCTACACTATTTGATAGGCCTAATGCACAAACAGGTTATTTTAGTACTGTAGAGTCTTGATCATATGTTCAGAATTTGTACGTTTACTATACATCAAACTGCTTACTACTTTGGAAAAAATGCAAAAAATAAAACTGCCTATCAAAGTAAAACAGCAGAAAGTATATTAAAGTAGATTTAATATGGTTTGAACAAGCTAAAACATTAAGACGGATATAAAAGTGGCATTGAGTGAAATAATTACATTTATTTTTAGTAGCCTAATGTTCCTGTGCACACTTCGGGCATTTTATGTGTACAAACCCAGCTCTGTATCTCTCAGCTGACACCACCACCTCAGTCTATCACATTATCTTTTGGATGGAGAAATTTAGTTACTCTGATTTGGACCAAATGCTCTTCACAGAGGGAGGTCTGCCTCAAGTAATAATACATTATTGCATGTTTGTTATGGCCATTTAAAATGTACTTGCAAAAGCTAGCGCGGGTAGCAGTACCTCTACATGTCCACACGAGGGCAGCATTGCGCTTCTAGCGTCATCACAAGACAGCTGTTTACATCTTCAACATCCACATCATGGGGAGCCTACAAGTGGCATAAAAGGCACAGCATCAGTTCGTTTCTTGGGGGACAGTGGGGTTATGTGCTGATGTTAGATTTATTGATCATTTTTCCTGCTTGGCTCCCTGCTGTTTCAGCAGAACAGTTTCCAGTGAGCTCAGTGTAGAAGCAAATAAGGACAGAAAACTGAAGAAACCATGTGAGACAAAATAAGATTTCTGAAAATTGTGCCTATTCAGCCTTTTCAAAATTCAATTTCCATTCCAAAACAAAACTTACAACAAACTAAAGTGTACAACCTGTCTGAATGATGAACCAACAAGAGTGACCACTTTTGCCTTTTTCCAGAGAAATGAAGACGAGTCTTGTCCTATAGCCAGAAAAAGAAACAAACTAAATTTAAAAAATCTAAATGAAGAATCTGTGGTTTTACTCCATGCTTCCACAGTGCAAGGCAGCATCCGGTTTCCCCAGAAGGTCACACCCCTTCAAGACATAAAACCAGTAAATATCTCTTAGTGGTAGGAAAATTTCACAGTTGTAATTTGCAGAAAGTCATAGTCGGTGGTGTACACACCCACAGTGTGACAGTTTCACAGCACCTTTACACAGGAAACAACATTTCAGACAACAATGCTCAAAGACCAAGTCTCTGCCTAAGCAACACTTAAAGGGGGAAATATGAGGCAAAAAACAAAACAAAGCAGAAATCAACATTAACAAACACAAACATCTTGGAATCACTGTAAACTAAATAAGAAACCCATTCAACCTAAACTCAATCCATAGTCTTCACTGGAAAGTGTCAGGAAAGCACCTTTTCTGTAGTTGCCTCCACTGACGTGATCCTGAGTTCATAGCTCTGTTCACTGTCACTGCCTGGCAGAAGTAAACAGACACCTTAAACAAAATGCACCACAATGTACTATTACTAACCAAATGTCAACCAAACCAACAGAACAAAGGATTTGAACATGACTGCACCTAAAAAAGAGAATAAAACTCATTTATGACACCCAAGTAGGTAAACTACACTATTTAGCAATTAGCAGTGAAATACACATACAAGTAAAACTTTGAGGTACTTGAATTTTACTTGAGTATTTTAGGTCATGAAAAGACAAAAACACAGCAGAACATGATGCACTGCTGTAGAATAAGATACCTACAGCATATAAAGCAGTTCAACATAAGAAAGGATGACACACATCATTATTCATTGTACACTGGGCTCTGCTCCATAACCTCCTCTATGCTAAGTCTCACACTGGCTCTCACACACCTCCTGGGCTGCTTTAAGATGCTATGGAGGTTGTTTCTGGGATCAAATTTTTTATCTGTATTCGAAAACTGCCTTAGCTAGGGCTCTGAACAACGACGCTTATAACCTCAGCGAGGCTTGATGAGGCTTTACTGGTTAAATAAAAATAAAGTCAGCATTAAATCAAGCCTGAAAAGGTCCCCCCCCTGCCCCGTGACCCGCGACTGACTGTTGGTGCTGACCGTCTGGACACCAGGTGTGAAAACTGCCTGGTACATGCCTCTTTTCACCCCTTTCATCCAGCTTTTCACATGTCCCTCTGATTGTCTCGCTCCTTTTGACCTTGAAATAACATCCATGCAGCTCAAGGCCAAACGTCTCGGTGTGAGCTCCTGATCATTGTGACAGCAACATTGTCAAATATATAGTGTAGTGAAATAATGAGTGGTTCTTTATCAGGAGTGTGAAAAGAGGGCCAGCAGCTGGACACAGACATGACATTGTATTTTATTTGACCTCTTCTAAATTGGCTCATATTTAAAGGGAGAAAAGTAAAGCATTCAGGATATTCTTTACACCTCATGGCTGAGAAATGTGATGCCATTATATGGGCCTGAGAGGTATAAAAGAGGCTCTGATGTTCTCTGGAGAAAGGCGGGCGCAAAGAGGCTAAATGTGAAAAACAAACATGTCCGCCTTCCCCTCTTTTTTTTTTTTTTATCCAGATGCAATCATCCTTCTCAGATCAGTCTGGGGGCAAAGGAAGAGGCACAGGACCACAAGCCTATTCTGCTGCTGGTCAGGTAAGATGAGATGGAGCGTGATCTTTGACGAGATGATTTCAACACTGAGAAGCCTTTATTATGTTTGTCTTGTTATGTTGTAGCCTGAACAGTTCTTAAAGACCATGCTGTCATCCTGAAAATGTTGTCCTTGTCATACTGGTATTGCTAAGGCATTCTATACTCCAATTGGTTTTGCAGAAAGTGCTGAACCCCCATCAGGTCAAGCCTTTTGTTTACCTTCACATCCTGACAATATGCACACTGTGTGGGCTTCTGTGCTGTTCTGCTCTCTTCTGCTCAGCTTCCTACCTACCGGTACGTCAGCAGCTCACAGGCATGAACACATGAACAGACTCGACACTGTGATGAACAGTAATTCTGAAATAACAAGGTGACAAGGTTTAGAATGAAGTTCACACACCTGTCTGTCTGTCTTGTGTGAAAGGAGCAGAGGAGAGCAATGCAGCAGGAAGGAGAAAGGAGAGGGAGAAACGAAGCCTACCCTACTGGGGCCTGTGGTCGTCAGACTTCTTTGGGTGGTTGGAGGAGCTGCGAGCCCGGGCGGCTCACAACAAGATGCAGGACCTGGCTCGTACCTTCTGGGCTCACTTCCCCATCAGCAGCCAGCTGGGCTATGACAGTCCAGAGTCTGAGCCTGAGCCTGAGGAGTGAGACAGAGGGGACACGGTGCACAGCCTGAGGATGGGTGATAGTTGGTCAGACAGTCGAGAGTAGCTTGGTAACCTACGAGCTATTTTTACCCTTGTGCTTTATTAACACTGACTTTTGTATGTGTACAAACAATTACAGCAATTTATTTCCTAGTTTGTTTTATATCAAATATTTCTCTTTTTTGACCTTATTAAAACCCAATTTGGGGATTAATAAGGTCAAAATCATTGTAATAATCTTACATTATCATGCATAAAAATCCTGAATAAATCTTGTTTGAATTATTCTGCACACATTTGGTTGCCAATGACATTTTCTTAAGTGAACACATTATTTTAATAACATTTCTCCTGCAGTCGGCTGCTTGACAAAGTGCAAACTACAATTTGTTTTTTTTATAACCCTAAGACCAAACATTCAGAACAGACCACATTCAGCTACTATGCTGTTTCTTTCCCTCCCTCACTATATAATTCATGTACTATATGGAGGGAAATGGAAAAGTACCTTGGACACACATGAGAATTCATTTAAGAGCGTAAAAACTCCCAGCTGCGGTCCTGTGTCAGCAGGCAGGGAGGTTTCGTAGCATTCCTCCACCAAAGGCCAGTTTCCACTGGCCGCCCACTCTTCCCTCTGGTTGTGCGGCAGTCTATGAACAGTCTTTAAGCCACTGTGTAGAGACTCTGAGCATGTACAAGATGGCATCCCACCAGCTATACTTGAGGTTAACAGGGCTGGCTGTGTTGCTGGCACTGCTGGCTCTAGGAGGTGAGTTCAGTCTTGTTCTCGTCTTTGTTTCGCTTCACATTTGACGTGTTTTAAACATATTTAGTCCTCACCATCTGGCCTTGCATTTATGTCTGGAGCTGTGTTTGTACAGGCACTAGCAGTTAAAGTCAGTGTGTGTGGGATATCTTTTAGAAAGCAAGCAGTCTTTCCAACAGATGTTTGAAGGCTGTCGATCTTCTCTGGTTTCAGTCTTCTCTCTTTCATAAGGAAAATGAAAATACAGTAAGATCCCAACAGTTTCTGCTGCCTACTTTTCATAACATCACGAACGCACTGTAACACATGTTAAGCGGTTTCTTTGTTTCTGTTGACGGTTGTGGGTAAACAAGGTTAATAAACTTCCCATTCCAATGCTATAGACAAAATGACTCATACAGTGCATGTTGTGGACAGACTGTTGTAGTGATGAGAAAAATTCATAGCTCATTTGCAAAACAATCTGGAGAAAAACACATGCAAACAATTTCTCCAACTCAGTCCTTCCACTTCTAACTGCACAGTGAAATGTTTGATGCTCAGGATAAGACCTTAACACACGGACTGGATTTCTGTGTACTTGGAACTACACTAATGGAAATGTGGCCCAGATGTAGGGAGGGACTTGTGTTCTCAGAGAGAACAGTCAGTTGCTACTACAAGTCTGACTGAAGTGGATGCGTGCGGTGAAGTACACAGCGACAAGGGAGAAAAAGCCAACAGATTATTCATTAACGCACACAGTGTGGAGAAGAGCAGCAGGAACAAAGTCGCTAGCAAATGTATCTACATGCAAATCGGCCACTTGTTATTTTCCTTGGCGACTTCTCCTATAACCACGTACCACATGAAAACTGAACATGGAAAGAAGTGAAGCTCATCAGAAAAATCTGCTGCAGTGCAAACAGAATAATCAGTAAAACTGGCATTCTTAAGTAGTTCTACAACAGAACATTAGGAGAGCATATCTTGCCGGTATAGATTTGATCTTAAACACTGTCCTCATTAAAAAGTAACCAGGTGGTTCTGATCAACCCACTGTGGTTAAAAAAAAAAAAAAAAAAACTGTTGTATGACTATTTACAAATGAACGCCAACTGAATCAAGAGCGTATTATTATTTAAGAAGAGTCTGACGTACCAGCCATGAAGACGGGTGTTCACACTGTGGCTCACTAGCTCTCTGTCGACTCCTTTACAGATGTGTCCAGTGACAGCAGCTTACACAGGATCTTAAGAAAAAGAGATGGTAACACTCAAACATATTTAACAGTTTGAATCATGTTGGTGATACAAAGGTCACCTTCAGCGAGAAAATAAAGAAATTCCTATTGTTTCCTCTTCCCTGTTGTGCATCCATCCAGTAGAAGGAGCTGGTATTAGCCCCTTGAAGGCCTCTGTGGCCATCCGTCCTTCCAAAGCTCAAGAGTTTCTGGCAAAGCTCAGCAGAACCAAGAGGAACGTTTGGGACCGCAGCAGACCAGACGTACAGCAGTGGATTATGCAGTTTATGTACATGGGGTTTGATGAGCAGGTCAGTTCTGTACACACTGGTAAAAAGTACAGAAACAGAACTCCTCTATTCAATGTTGGCTTCTTCTTTACTCAGAAATTGTAAAAAAAAAAACAAAAAAACATCAGCTTTCACATCCTATGTGTGGCAAGATTTACTTGTACGTTACCTTAAACAACCACTACATCAATTTAGGATTGCATAAAGTCTGGAGGGACAAAAAAAGAATGGTAAAACTTAAAGCTTTGGATGCTGAGATATAATCTATAATACGATTCCCGTAACACAACTTGTGTCATTCAATATTCCCTCCCTGCTCAGTAAATGCCAGAGTCTTTAAAACTACAGGCCCCAGTTTGTAATGCAGGCTTTCTGTTATGTTGTCTCCTACAAAAAAAATAAAGTCAAGATAACTGATAATGTCACATAACTCGCCGATTTTCTCAGACTCCTCCAGAGCCAACCCACAAACATTATAGAACTTTTCACAGCCTGAGTAACTGTGATTAGTGAACTGACAGTGACTAGTGAAAACAGTGATGTTTAGAATAACTGATTGGTGCATATGCATATTGTACATTGATTTAAAATGATTAACAGCCCTGAAATCCTATTTTGTCAAGAAGACTCCTACTATGAGCAACTGGAGTCCTGCAAACACAATATTTTCTGATTACTTAAGAACAATTTGATTATCTCACTTGAGAGATTTCTAATTCAAGCCTGATGCACCTGCGGTATCACTCAGCATCACTGTGGCCAGACATGTTTGTAATAACATGAAATAAACACGAAACAGCCACATAAAACTTTAGCTATCTGGATCTTTTTATATCTTGGTCTGATGTCAAAAAGACAAGATTTTAAAAGGCACATATCCTCAAAACGTCTGACTGAACTGATTATTACAAATGCAGAAATTAATATATAACAATACATGAATTTCCTCACACACATACAGAGCCAGTTTCAGTTGCCTTCCAGATCAGCGACTGTCATGTAGAGTTCACCAGGGACAATGAGGAGTAAAGGGAATCGATAAGAACAGAAAAGAGGGAGCGGAGTGCACAAAATAATCACCGGACAGCAACTGTGTTTCAGCCACACACAGTCAGCTTATTAGCTTCAGATTTGCAGAAGCAGAGTTTCTTAATATCTGCAGTTCTTTTTCTCGCCAGAGGCTGGAGAGTGACCTGTCCTACTGGATGGACCATGCACGTGCCAATGATCAAGGGCGTCAGCACCACTATGATGAAAACGCTCCTATCGGCCCGCGTGACCCTGCCTCTTACAGACACGGAGCTAATGTCAACTACGACTATTACTGAGTCCAGTCACACACAGAAACACACACAGGCCAAAGCTTCTACCAGTGGTCGAAGGGTTTGTTTCTTTGCCTTACTCAGTCTGTTACCTTCTCTTTGAGAGGACGCAGCCTGTCGTAGTGTGTAGTTTTTCAGTTTTTCAATAAGAAGAAAAAAAAAAGAATAATCTTGATATTTTTCTTTAAATCAAGTTTGGGGCTGTTTCACAGTTTTATTAGATGTTTTTGTTTTTTTTTACGTGCAAGGGTAAAACATGTTTGAAGCATTTGATTTTTCTAGAACTTAATGTGCATTGCAGTTAAGAATAAAAAAAACGAACCACCACGAAAGTTTTTATCTTTCTGCATGTTAAATAAAAATACAGGTTATATTCCATACAGCTTTGTGCGTCTGCACACTAATCAGTCTTCTCCTGCTGTTTGCATTTCTTAAAATGGACTGGACATCAGCTGGGTACTAGCACAGTGTAACTAGCTGGTAATGACAGTTTGTGGGTCTGTAATGAATCACAACAGCTAAATAATGGAGCTTTGTATAATCTATGCTAAAAAGCTACAATTTTTGTGCAAACCGTAGGAACAGAATTTATACATTATGCAAATGCGCAAATTCAAAATGATCCGAGCTACTGTCCAACGCCACCATCATAACTCTTACTCGACTCCTGCACCACTGACACCAAACTGTTTCATTCTTACTGTAATTCCCTCTTCTTTCCAATAAAGCTTTGAGGCAACTGACTGGTATGAAACACTTAAAATCCAACACTGTAGCACTTCTCCTATAACTAATTTACTGTAAATATGTGGCTCTTCACTGCCTACACAACTTCAGAAACGTGTCTCACTCTTTCATACACAAAATGTTTCTTTTCTAAATATTATACATAAAACAATTAAAATATTTTATTAAAATAGCATTTTCACCTCAAATTGATAATGCAAATCCTAAAATGATATTTCACAAAGAAGAAGACAATAAAACAAACACATCATGATGCAGTTTCTAGAAGGTTTGTCCAGTTCTGTAGTGCGTCACATGAGCATTGACAAGAGGACAAAACATCCAGTGGGGAAAATGACGTCAGTCAGCTGTCCAGAGACAAAACACCATAAAACTGATAAACACAAAACACTGATGCACAGCACGAGCTGTTCACAAGACACTGATGTTGGTGATTTAAATAGTAAAAGCTCAAATCCACAAAAAAAAAGTAGGCTGGGTTTCAGATTTCTTGCCTCTTTGATTCAGGCTTGTCCAATCACACGGCAAGGAAGTAGTTACTCACAATGCAGCTGAAGCTCCAACACAAGGAAAAGATCTTTTCAAAGAGACTTTTAAGAGAAAGATGTCTCTGCTTCACAAAAAAAGACACCCTTTCCCAGAGTGCATCACTCAACAGCGTATTTCAGAGCATTCCTCTGAGGAGGCTTAACATCCTTCTGTGGTGGGAGACCTGACCTCAGTTGTGTCTGGGTCTTCCTTTCTTCATGCGGGCGGCTTTCGGTTTGGGGATGTACTGGTTGTTGGCCTGGTGCTCCAGTTCTCTACTGAAGTACTGGATAGTTTTGTTCAAGCCTTCCTCCAGCGGCACCTGACACGACACAGCTAATGTTAAGACTGTACTCTCTAAAAAAATACATTAAAATCTAAGCCAAATTAGATAGTTTGGTTCATATTCAATAAATCAAATAACAGTTATCAGACACAGGAGTATACAATATATGGTGGGTAAATAAGCTACACAAAATGCCAATGTATGCTTTCTGTGCTTTAGAAACCATCAAGTTTATTTTACTGTAAAATGCCTCTCCCAGCGACTCTCTTCATCTTAATTCATAATAACCACATTTAAATTTGGCCCACATTCATTGTGAGTCTCAAAAAAGCCTATGTATATATATATATGAGAGTTCTGTTTATATCACTTTGATAAGAATGTATTATAGTAAAAGAGCAAAAAACACCATCTAACGTAGTTGAATTAGTTTAACCTTTAATGTCCAACTCCGAAATAAAGTCACCTACTTATTTAAAGAGAATTCTATAATAATGATTTCAATATCAATTTTGTTCATTCACATCTGTATAAAAATAGCAACAGGTTGTAAGAAAAGAATTATATCACATACTTTAGTCATTGTAAACGTTCATTAGCAGGCTGGTTGTTTTCTATATTCATAGTATTTTCAGTGACCTCTATACAGAGAATGAACTGCCTCTACTCGTGGTTAATGTCTGTCAGCTGCCAGTCCTGGTTTAGCTTGTTTGTCTGTGTGATAGTTCTCCATTGTTCAAAAATGATTAGACAACACATCAGGGAAACACACCGCTGCACTTGGGTGACATGTTTTTTCATTACAAATCCCCCGACCCAGTAATGTTGCCCCAAAGCAGCTGAGTGGCCATTCCTGAAGTTAGCACACGTCAGAGTCAACTGTGCGTGTGCACGATCTTTCACGAGCTCTCAGGTTTCTTGTTAGGGTTAAACTGACAATAGACAAAGCAGATCGAGGCCACTCATGTGAATAATATAAGGGTTTAATTATTCTTGCAGCAAGGGAGCATTCAATACACACAATATGGTTGCATGAAGGAAATGCTCACTGAGTCTCTCTGAGGGTCATTTATACAGTCAGACTTAACAGTCATGGCAAGTTCTGCATCACCATTGGCTCCTGGAACAGATATGTCTGTATCTCTGCAGTCTGACTGCTTATGAGAACTGAGTTGGTGTAAGCACACAATCAGCTAATTACAATCAGTAAAATACATTTGGTATTTAAATACATAAGGTATCTATTCTAGATCTACTGTTTACTCTTTGCAAGTACAGAACGTATAATAATTGTACTGTGGGTCACTTGTCATGTTACTGTCCCTTGATAAACATTTTTCCAACATTTCTTTACATTCCATTAGCTCCTCACGCTCAGGTCTGGGGTTTACTACTGAGAAACGTGCAACCCAGTGCAGCAATATCTCACTAATGTTTTTAATCATTTTCGAACAACAGCTGAGGTCTATGGTGCAGATGAACAAGCTAATCCAGGACTGATACACTGATGGACATTAACAATGAGTGTCAGTTTTACTCTCTGGCCCTTTTCCTTTAAAGAATTTAAGCTATTGAACAGAATGTTTACAATGCATGACAGCGTGTGTGCATGTCAAGGTTTTAGAATGATCGAGCTGCACATACCACTGGTTCCCAGCCGAGCATCATCTTGGCTTTTCGGATGTCAGGTCTTCTCCTCTGTGGGTCGTCCTGGGCCTCTGGAAGGAACTGGATCTGGCTCTGGCTCACTGCATGTGTGTGAAAGAACGTCAGAAACTGTGCGTGGGGATGCGAGTGTGTTTATGGACAGTCCCAAGTGTACAGAGAGGTGAGGACATATTACGGTTCTTTTACTTACTCCTAACTATACATACTGCTGATGACCACATAACAAGAGTTTTGTAGGAGAGATTAGTTGAGGCAGATGGTTCATTTTGTGTCGGAGAGTAGCGAAACCTCCAGGCGGTAATGCTGGAGCTGATGTTCGGGTTCTCAAAAATTTAACTGCATGATTTGGTAATGTGCCAAACGGAGTTTTCTGGTATCTATCAAAGTTAATGAAGGTATGTAAATGTGATTACTCTGGGTACAGTATAATCACTGCAACTTACAGCCTGATAACACAAGTTATCCATAGTTACAACAATAAGGCGGTTTTGCTGTGTTCCAGACAACTTGGACCAAAAAATTTCCATCCTCCTATACATTTAATTATGACAGAGCGGCTCTCAAAGGAGGAGCTCTGACTGGAAAAACTCAGGCCAATTTCATGCACCCTGACTTCACCAAGAAACAGATGCTCTGACATAACTCAATATGGCAGCGTCCACAAAAGTGGACACCAAGGTCAACACCGTGAATACAACACAGGTTTCTTGTGGTTAGCAATGAAAACGGGTTACATTTTGTTTCATGAGCTGTAGAATGCTTCAAGCTCAGAATTTTCAACTCCCACACATATCTAATGCAGAATGAAATTCCTCCTAAGAAACAGGTACATTTTTATAGTTGTATAACACAAAAACATAACTCCAGCTTAAGAAAGGGGTGAGACAAAACAGACTATAGGATAAACTGGAAAATAAAATGGCAGAAGGATATTAAAAAAAAAAAGGGAAGCAGGCAAGCCAAGCAGGGACTAACTCAGTGGGGGACACGTTTGCAGAGACACAGAATGACAACTGTCCACTTACCAACGAGACTTTTAATGAGACGAGCAAACTCCAATATGGTGTGCTCCTCTGGGTTCCCCTGCAAACAGATTTCATAAACTTCAATCACATCACTGTCAACAAAAGCCAGTAAATTGGTCTGTTTCTGCAGAACTCATTTCCTATTTCACTTTATTTTCAGTTTGTGAGACATAGCCGAGAACGATGAACTCACCAGATTTACTGGACTGCTAATGTTACTGTTCATCAACAACACCAGGCCGTTCACCAGATCACTGTAAGACAAGTCGCCCATCGAGGGAGAGATATTAATGTGGATTTTCTTGTTTGAAATTCCAGTCTGTAGCTTTGGAACATTGCATGAGAATCAACTTTCCATACAGAGATTTGTGTGAGAACATTATGAAAACTGCAGGTGTAACATAACACGTTATACTCTTTCCTCCTGCACATCATGGCCATTTATAAACCCTCTCAAGTCTCCTTTTAGTGTTGTTTAATAGAAAACAAAGTCTGTACAGAAGTCTGAAGTTTCTTCTTTTGCTTTCGTGTCATGCATACAACTATACCCAGTCCCCCTGGGCTTATATGTCACCACAAATTAATTTAAACCACAAACAGAACGCAGCAAACACATTTTAAAGCTACTCTACCTAATTTTTTAGGGTCCAGTGAGAGTCAAAACAAAGACACACCAGCAACCACTCCTGACCAAAACAAGTCAGATTTTTTTTTTTTACAGAATTTTTTCAAACAGACATTATAACCTTCGCTAGGTGGCAGGAGGGGCTGATTTATTAACCGTATTTTGGCAACACAGGGTAGAGAATAACACAGGGTAATAACAAACAGGACTGTAGGCGGTGTCATTACCCGATATGCCTACCAGATCTGTTATATGCTTGTACAAAGAAGCAATTAACGGCGGCATCGTATCTCTAGAGAGGAGAGCCAAGTGCACAGAACGCATCAGCCCTTTAAATTCTTAAGTTCCCGAAGTGGAAAAACACTAATGTCTCCTGTTGTGTAGAACAATATGCGTGCATGTGTATGTATTTATATAGGGCAGGGTACACTCTGGACAGGCCACCAGTCCATCGCAGGGCCGACACGCAGACAAACAACCACTCACACATACACATACACTCCTATGGGCAATTTAGAGTCACCAATCAACCTAAGGCACATGTCTTTGGACTGTGGGAGGAAGCCGGAGTACCCAGAGAGAACCCACGCAAGCACAGGGACAACATGCAAACTCCGCACAGAAAGGTCGTGAACCCGCAACCTTCTCACTGTGAGGCAACAGCACTAACCACCGCGCTGCCCACTGCACAGTACAATATATGCTATATTTTGTGTGTGTGTATATTTGTTGGGGAGGGGGTTGAACCTGAAATCCATCCCCCTGGTAAAAAGGCATTTAATTTGTTCTCAACATCATTCAGAAATCAAAAGTAACAGAGATCTTGCAGACCAAATGCAAAGAAATAATAAAATCAGCTGAGTAAGTAGGCTTAGTGGGTAATCCTAGCTGGATGAAGTCTGGATAAATGTTTTTCTCTATATACCTCACTCTCATTGGTCGATATTATTAACCAAATACAATAAACCCACACACACAACATTCATTCTGGCCCAGCAAACATCTAATAAATAATAAGAGCGACAATAAGGCCCCAGCATTAAGATGCTATATTGCTAAAACCTTTGCAGAGCTACAGACAAGTGACTTATTTATGTAATGTCAAAGCTATAATGGGTGGATGGATAGAGCATTCTGTTTAATTAAATCAGTCCTGCGTTCTGTAACTGCAGTAAATCTGAACCTATCTATAAATACTTCACATAGAATAGTATTTAGTAAAGTAAACACACTACATGAAGTTCAACACAAGAAGCCATTCTTTTCTATCCTTGTCTATTTTTATAGAGCTTCTATTTGTATAAAGGGCTTTTTCCAATCAATCCTAAAATGTGTAATGACAATAAAGCTGTCCCTGGAATCTTGAAAAAACACAAAGTATTGATACAACCTTGTGTTTTATATGGATAAAACACAGGGAAATTAAACATGAGCAATACATGAATTTTTTTCCCCTTGAACCCTTAATTCATTGTTTCCAGGTCAGAAGATTCAAAGCCCTGCTCACCCCCTCTATTATAACACAATAATTTACTTACTCCCGTAATTAATGTGTACACATTTAATTATTTCATATTTGTCACAAGATAATTTGCAGAGATTTTCACTTTGATATTCAAATGTTTTGATCAGTCTGGATTAAAAATCTTACATCAAATAACATTTTAGAAAAGCCTACATGTGAGTAAAAGCAGCTTATGGGCAAAATAAAGTCATTTCATCACATTAAATTACATAAAAATCAAAAACTTAATAGTCAATAGAGAAAGAAAGGTTTGACTGTGAGGAGGGGAGACTATTAAAACTATCCACATCTAATGATACTACACAGTTTTCATAATGAAGAAAATGGGATGTTTAAGTTTTAACATAACAGAGAGTTCACCCAAAGACTCATTACTCTTTACACAACACTAAAGTCACACAGCAGGTAAATGCTTCAAAGAGATAGGAGAACTTCAAATGCTGTGCCTCTGATCTTTCTTTCTCAAATGGGATCCAAGTAATTGGATCCCATTTATCGGCACAGCAGCCGATAAAGCTTTCACATTTTTATTTCTACTCTTCCAGGCAGAAAGACATGCACATATTGGCATTTAACAACAAACTTCAAAGCCCAGTTAAGAGCAATAATCCTCAGTCTAACCACATATTCATGTAAGAACAGCTAAAGAAATATTCACTCAGTTTTCACTGCGGTCTGTCTTAGCAGAGAATGTAATTCATTTGAAAAAAGTTACAACTACATACAGTATATTGTATAATGACAATGGCAATCTTACCTTACATACTGAAAGGCTCTTGTTTGGGAACCAGTACCATACACCTAGAACAATAACAACAGGAACACTTAGCCAGATCTAAATAAAATTTGGAAAACTGTCGTGTATTTTGTATTTTTCTTCTCATTGTCGCATTTTCAGTTTTGCAGCATCAGTTGGTATTAAATCATATTTAATCATCATAATTAAAACATCTGCATGCAGATATGATACAGGAACAATAGCATGTCTGACTTTTCAGTTAGTCATGTTCAAGTTAATATTTATATGCTTTCATATAATTTAAGATGCATACATCAGTAATCAGTCATCGCACTGAGGCCAAGCCAGTGTCTACTCCAAGTACTCACTGAAAACAAACAGCCCAGAGTGCAGAGGTTTGTCTCAAGCACTAATAACATGAAAGAGCATTTTAAGTAAAAATCTGAAAATGCATACAGTGAGAGGTTCTCCCTGTAGAGCCTGCAGGATGAAATTGCTGACAACACGTCCATCATTCATGTGCATTCGGGAGCCAAACGTGTTGAAGATTCTCGCTACTCTCACCTCTACTCCTTCCTGTTAGCAAACACAGAACAAAGCTGATGACCATTTAGTTATGAACTTGACTATGCCTTGGTTGAATGTTTATCTTTTTAGGATTACTCCTTTATTATCATCCCTTGATCATTATGCATTATTCCTACAGAAAAACTATAATTCCATGTCACATTCTTACCTATATTGTACATCATTAAAAGTTCAAGGTATATTCTTTGCATGAGCTGCAAATCCATGGCCTTTTTACTGTAAGTCAGCCTCACGCATCAGTACATGCTACTTCAGATGGGACGAGCGGCCACTTTTGGCCATTTGCCATGAATAAAGACATGAAAATTATGTAGATCAAGCCATTAAAAACATGAAACATTAAATTCAATGGGCTTAGCCTGTAATATATTCACTATAGTAATGAACAAGGACAGAATGAGGACAACATGAATAACAGGTCTTATAAGTGCATGTGCACCAAGATGTGCATGCATACCCTCATGTAAGTCAAAGATGGTGCACACAGATAAGTTGTTTCTCTTCCCGAGCCTTTAAATAGTCTGAAAGAATGTCTTCCATTAGCCATACTGTCATCGCTTGCCACTACTTTTATCACTTGATTACAATGGTGATGATTTAAATCCAGTACCCAGTTAAACCTTCATGCTATAAAACTTACAGTTTAGGCTTATCAATTTAATAGTTCTGATTAACATCCTCAAGTATGAGAAGGGTGAAGGTTGTGAAAACTGGGCTGTGCTCCATTTGTTGTTCATCATATTTCCTGGATGTGTCTACTTGGTTAGGAACACTGACAGCTTGGTGCTCACTTAACTATTAAAACTACTTTTGTATAGTGGAGGAAAGTGGTGATGGTTCATCCATCTTTTATATACAGTTTATGGGCTAAACCTAAATCTGTTTGATCAGGAATTTAAAAACATTCACATCTGATATGATAATTTGACAATCAGCAGGCTCTTTTGCTTTTGGTGGTCAGAAAGCCACATTTGAAAACAAAGGCATTAGTGAAGTACAACATATCTTACTATTACAACCATCTAAGTCCTAATAAGTCAGTCTGATGCTGGATCATGTGAATACTGTATGATTAATGTTTAAAAACGCATTCATGTTTTAAAACATGTACAGTAAGCACATGTACATGTAGAGTCTAGCAGGTGACAGAGGTAACTTGTAGAATACAGTATATAGCCTTATTCAACACAAGCCTCTTCCAACCTGCAACTGGAGACCTGAACATATTGTTAGATTAGAGTGAACAACATGTGAAAATAGCTTGTGGCTGTATGACCCCTGGATAACCTGGTGCGCACAATACATGTGTGAGTGCAACTGTCACAGATGCTGTTTTCAACATTTCCCTTTTCAGAGCACAGTTCCCAGGATGTGTTTATTTGTTGTGGACTGTGGTTATGAGTCATGCTTGTGCCCTGACTTCACTGTGTCACAGTGAATGAAAATGTATAGTACAGTAATACTTTAGTAATACTTTAGAAGTTAAATGTGTAACATACTCCATATATATATAAGGGCAGTAGATAACATTATCACATTATGTAACACATTTTAGTGGCAGGTGGACTACAGTTTATTTATTTATTATGCCTCGACTCTGGCAACAGTCACAGCTGGAGGCTGTATGTTTTCGAGTTGTCTGTCTGTCAGTCTGCCCAGCCCATTCTTGTGAACACGATAAGTCAGGAATCCCTTAAGGGAATTTCTTCAAATTTGGCATGTGTCTACTTGGTCTCAGAGATGAACTGATTAGATTTCGGTGGTTACGGTCACTGACCTCATGTCTGTCCTATTCCCATGCTTTTGACTGGTTGGTAGAGGCAAACAACCCCATAGTGGTAATTGTAAATTATTACCATTTTTGAGTTAGACACAT